ACACACACACATTATATATATATATATATATATATATATATATATTCATATTTATATTATATATGAATAAAATATATAAATATATATATTACATATATTTGTATATACATATTATATATACATATTAATATTATATTTACATGTATGTGTTTGTATTTATATATATATACACGTATATACACAGTGATTAATCAATTTGACAGCCCTAAAATATATATACATTTTTATTTTTTTTTTTCCAGTTTTTATTTTTTTTATTTTAGTACATCAAGTTAAACTTAAAAAAAATGAGAAATGTTGCTTTGGCATCTGGTTGAAATAAAATAGTTCATATTTTCTTTTATTCCAGTTAATGTATATTTTATGCAAGTAACGAAAAATCGTTTTTTAATGGTTTTAGTTTTAGTTAACTATCATAACCCTGCTTAAAACAGCAGTGTGAATGTAATGTCAACTGAGACACAATCACAACTAAAAAGAGGTTTGTGTCCACTTTAAAGTCCAGCAAAAAGGTTCAAATAAAACGCTTGAAGTTTTTAATGTTTGCTTTCATGCCATGTGACAATTAACCACCGATTAGAGAACCGTAAACGTGAATGTGTAAGAAAATAAGTTATGTCGAAAGGGTTCGGCTGATCCCTGGCGTCGAGTGTTAATTGTAGTTGTTTTAATCTCATTTTTGACATGTTTTCTTTTGCAGGAACTCTGTTCGCTCAGAAGTCGGCGGCTGCAGCTGCGAGTGTGAATGCTCCTCCAGCAGGACCCAACTTCACCTTCTCTAGCTCCGCCCCCAGCCAAAGCCCCGCCTCTTCCTCCTCCTCCAAGGGGCGGAGCTCCCCGTAACCGTCTGCCGGTTGGCTCTCAAGTCACTGATTGCTGAAAATCAAACTGTTGCACAACCAGTACCTCATTTTCTCCTGTCCGCATGTTTGCAGCATGAACACACATGCAAAAAATAACGTTAAAAAATTACGCTAAATACGATCAGAACGTTCAGCCAAACGACGGGCAGGTTTTACAGAACTTGAAGATTTTTATTTAGAGTGTGTTTTGATCTGTCTTCTGATTGTTTCGAGACTTTTTTTTTTTTTCCTCATAAAGGTTCCTCGTGTTACATTCATACCTCAAACATTCAGCGGTGGAACGTCACAGGAACGTCTTTTACCTCAGGATCTGTAGTTTAGGCTTTCTCTGAATACGTTTTTTTTTTTGTAGAATTGGTTTTATTTCGTCAGGATCAGAAACGCTGGCGTGGTTTTAGGACGGGACCGCACTGATTCCCTTCTATGCATCGGTGTTCGTTAGGGAAGACGAACCTCGGAATCTTGTCAGGTTCTTGGGAATAAATCTGCTGTTCGGAATCGCGTTCGTTTGATGATGTCAGGACCCAAGAACAACCGTCAGATACCTCAGAAAGCAGCTGAATGTCTCGTCTCTGGGGTCTGCTAAAACTAATCATTTCAGCTGGATCTCAGGGCAGGCTTTAAATATGTGGGTGAATCTCATGAAAAAAAAATATATATATATATATATATTCTTTTTTATTATTTTATATATATGTATATGCACATATTTGCATACATATTTTATTTTAATTTTTTAAAATATTTTAATAGTTGAATATCAAAGTGAATCTCATGATCACATGAAAAGGAAAAAAAATTAACTTAAATGATTTTAGCAAATGGCTGCAATATAACAAAGAGTGAAAAATTTAAGGGGGTCTGAATACTTTCCGTACCCACTGTATATATATGCGCACATATTTGCATACATATTTTACATTTTATTTTTTAGATTTTAATAAATATATGTAAGCACATTATATGCACATATATTTTATAATCTATAAATGTAAGTGTATAAATATATATATTTTTATAAATATATATGCACATATGTGCATATACATATATATGCATATAATATTTAAATAATAGTCACAGCGTAAAACATCTAGATCGGCCTAAAACAGGCATAATTTTCTTAATGCAAAATATGATTTCTTTCTTCTTTCTGTTGATTTTGGATTAATTTAGAGGTTTCATGAGATTCACCCATGAATGGTGTGATGAACTCTCAGCGTAACCATCCAATCATTCCTCAAGCGCAGCAGCAGCTCCGCGTCGGTCAGATGCGTGTCTGTATGATGTCTTTCATCCACACTGACGCTTGATGTTTTCGTCTCACATTTTTGCCCTCCGTAGCAGGAAGGCGTCTCTCTCAGGAAGTACTGTGATGTTTTTAAGTGAACTCTCATTATTGTTAAGATGATATAAATGCATAATCAGTGGTGAAGTACCTCAGACTCTGCTGTGGAGATTTACACTACATACCTCATGCTGCCGTGACGACGGGAGACGAAACGTTCCCGTTCCTGCGCAGATTCCGGAATGCTGGACGTGAATCCCTCGAGCTGGACTCTCCTTTCTCTGTGTGTCTTTTTCTCGTGGCGAAACCAAACGTGAACTGTTGCATTTGGACGGGACCGCACTGATTCCCTTCTATGCATCGGTGTTCGTTAGGGAAGACGAACCTCGGAATCTTGTCAGGTTCTTGGGAATAAATCTGCTGTTCGGAATCGCGTTCGTTTGATGATGTCAGGACCCAAGAACAACCGTCAGATACCTCAGAAAGCAGCTGAATGTCTCGTCTCTGGGGTCTGCTAAAACTAATCATTTCAGCTGGATCTCAGGGCAGGCTTTAAATATGTGGGTGAATCTCATGAAAAAAAAATATATATATATATATATATTCTTTTTTATTATTTTATATATATGTATATGCACATATTTGCATACATATTTTATTTTAATTTTTTAAAATATTTTAATAGTTGAATATCAAAGTGAATCTCATGATCACATGAAAA